TCTGGAGAGACTTTAAAGCCAGAAGACACCCTTCTCCTCCCAATACCCTCCCTTTTTTCTTGGTGCACCTGAGATGCCTAATGGATGGGAGGGAATTCTCCAGTTTCACACTTCTCCTGTTTCAAATGAAGAGGCTCACATGGACACTAGCTTGCTCAAGCACCCCAACAACTGAGGCTGTGGGACCACCCAGCAACACACTGTTAATATTTCATATTTCGTGGGACTTCCGGTCCATCGCTTAAGCTTGTTCCAAGTTTTTATTCTGCACTTTGGAGCTATTCTATAGTTTGTAATCACAAACAGCAGGCATATCCTGCCAAGCTTGGAATCTGGGCATCCTGATGCAAAGACGTGCTATTGAGATTTTAAAAAAACAAAACAAAATTCTATTCATTGTTTGTTTAAAGCTCTGAGAATCTGGATGGAACATACTGGAGCAAGAGAAGGCGAAAATACACGGCACCTTGAGGCATTTAACTGGCAGTGTGTTGCTATTCCTGAACCTCTGTAATGGTTTTGATCTGGCACAAATCCCCTGAGCCTTCAACATTTCAGCACCTCCCACGCTGTCAAGTGCTTCTAGAGACCCAGAGATGCAACTTTTTGTGGGATCCCAACCCTCTGGCGATTCCCAGAGGCAGCCATTTCCCCCACAGCCCCAAAATATATGCTCGTTGGCTGAATCAGAGAAACCCTCTCCCCCACTGCCATACCTCACTCATTAATTTGCCCCCATATCCATTCTTAGGTATGGTGAATCATAAAGCAATTTGAGACTTGTGAGGTGGACGGGTGGGCATGGTTGAACATGCACCCCCTTGGTACCAAGGGAGAGGAGGAAAACGGAGCTTCTCAACAGCTCCTTGGAAGCTGGAAGTTGTGTCTATAGCAACTGTCCTAGCCAAACGGATGGGAGACACCCAGGGAAACAGAAAAGGTGGTGAAAAATGTGACATTTGGTGCTGCTTGATCCTTTCAGTTGTTTCTTTTTCATAGGGTGGAGGGATCACTCTGCCTCCTTATCTTTATGGAACCGAGCTAGATGTGGGTTTTAAGTGGTCAAAATTCCTCGACGGAACCACAGCCGTCTCCCTCCCTCGGTCCGCCCCCCCCCTCCCGCTGTTAGCCAGGGTGGGGATACCCCAGCTGGAGGAGACAGAGAGAGCCCGGGGGTGCCCCGGCCCAGGCCAGAGCAGCGGGGTCGGAGCAGAGCCCCAACAGGGCGGCTGGGCTGGGCTGGGCTGGGCGGCAGGCGACGGGGCTGGGCTGAAAGCCGCCGGGAGT